TGTTGGCCCAAAGAAGACACTAGCAAAAAATCGTAAAGCTGTTAGTACCTATCGTGACAAAAATTTTATTAAATTTTACTTATTGTTTAGTCAATATTGTACAATATTTTGCATACTTTGCGCTCTATACTTAGAGCAGACTTCCTCGATGGGGGTTCTAAATATGGGCGTAGCTCATTAATTAAATTTAATGCAAAAACTTTTGTCAGTCTAAATTTTTGTATAAATGCCCTTTCGGACAAAACTACAGAAAATAACATTTTATTAATGTAAATAGATAATTTTACATATTGTAATTTGTTTTGTAACATACCAATGAACGGATCCTCCGCTAAACGAAATTTCATTGTTGAATGGCCATTATCTTCAACTATTTCTAAATTACTAATTACTTGCACATAATTTATATTAAGAAAGTGCTCCATTTTAATATTTAATATTAAATAAATTTGAAAACGTTATAAATATATAAGTTTTCATATAAATATGAATGATAACAGTAAAATTAGTATACTAAAATCATAATTAGTGTGGTAGATACCACTCTAAAACTTTAGTACACTAATAAATATTTTTTAGCATACCAACATTCAAAAATACGGTTTTTTAGTTTCACACTAATAGTTGCACTAAAACGTCATGTTTTAGTATACTAAACAGATTAGTACACCAATATAAAATTCAAAAATAGACCCCCTGGTGAAGGAAGTACCTGGCACCCACCTGGAATATCTCATCCAACAGATCTCCCTCTCATACCAGGCCCTCACCGATTTGAGGAGCTCTGTGTGGCCCTGCCGTAAGAGGCGGCACAATTCGGCGGATGAGGCGACTGCCACGTCGGATATGGTCGAAAACGTAGGCGAACAAGTGTCTGTGCTTCGAGGAGTTATCGACAAACGTCGAGGAATGGGAGTGCACAAGGAGGTGCAAACTGCAACGAAGCGGCTAGAGGAGATCCTAGATGAGGAAAAATGCAGAAGAGCGTCTCCGCGGCCCAGGCACCCCCAGGAAGCCTCACCAGAGATGGGAGCGTTCCCGAGATCGACAAAGGAAACTGGGACATAAACCGATGAGAATCCACCGGTTTTCAAGTTGAAGGAGGCTAAGGAGGTAGCAAAGAAAAGGAAGAGAAAGAAAAAGCGGCCTTCTATAGTAGATCCTGCCCCCGATTGGACATCGCGCCTACTCAGACAAAGACTGAACAGGGGGTAGTGAACCGGGCAAACTGCGCAGGGTTTGCAGTAGGGGATACGGGAGTTGCTCTCGCTAAACCACTGTAGACTAAAGTCGTAGGACGAAAAGTAGAAGTTAAGAAGAAGGAGGATGCGGCGGCCAAGCCCAAACCTTCACCACCAATGCGAGGCCCGAATACAGCGAAGCTGCGGTCAAAAGTGCTTCGCACAGAAGCGGTTGTGATCGGCCCCCTGAGGGAAGTTCAAAAGTATGCCACAGTAATGGGTATAGTCATGGCTGCGATTAACCTCCAGGCCATGGGCATTCAAGTGTCCAGGACCCAGAGAACCCAAATGGGGGCCGTCCTTTTGGAGGTCCGGGGGACCGCTGAACAAGCGGACCTTTTGGCCGCCAGATTGAAGGTGGCTCTTCAGGAGATGGACGTGCGGATACACCGGCCTTCGATGACCTGCACTGTCCTTCTCCTAAACGTGGAGGAGTTGCAGGAGGAGCACGACATGCACCGATCACTTAGCATTGCCCTGAAGCCTCCAGATGGAGATCTGCCACTGCATGTGGGACCAATCACGGTCCGCACGAACATCGGCGGAAAAAGGTGGAATGCGAGGTGCGTGGTACCTCTCAGAGTAGCTCATTTTCTGGCAGCCTTAGGCCGAGTTTGGGTGGGGTGGACATCCTGTAGGCTGAGGATTCTTGACAAGGGTCATCAGTGCTACAGGTGTTTGGAACGTGAGCACATCGCCCAAGCTTGCAAGGGACCAGACAGGTCGAAGGCCTGCTACAGGTGCAGAAAGGAGGGGCATCTTTCAATAGACTGCCCCAGCAGAAAAGAAGGTCGGGATTCAAATCCAACCGACACCTGCGATGTGGCCTACTCCCACCTTTATGTGGTCCAACCCGGGCAATGGACCCACCACTGGGGTCCGGCTAACAGAGGAGGCTGCGACGCGTTGTGATTTGGCTCTAGAGTAAATTTAGGCTTTACACGACGTGGTAGTAAGAAAATGTTTAGGCGACGTGGTCCACCCTGAAGCAATGCCTCATGGCAGTTCCAAGGTGGCCCACATCAAGTCGTTTAAAGCGGAGAAAAAAAAAATGGTAAAATGCAGGAAAGGTCACTCGTAAAATCAGCAATGGAAAGAAGTGAAAAGATATGCACAGTTAAGGTTCTAAGAGTTTCGGAGACTCTAGGACCGGCTGGGGAAAGTTCCACTGAAGGCTCAAATCGGTCGTCATCCAGCGACTTCAGTAATTCTACCATCATTATTGGTAAGACAGGATCGGGGGGTCGTTCGCGGCCAAGCTTCTATCGGAGGATATGCGGAGCAGGCATCTTTCGGTTATTGTTAGATAACCGAGGTTATTGTTAGATGTTTTGGCATCAACCAAGATCAGGTTGAGGAGTGGTCGGGCTTACAGAAACGAGCCCTACTTCTGCAACGAGATTTATATGTGTCACTCTGAATATGAGCGTTGGGAACAGATCCAGCTGCGCTTGGAGGATGATAGGTCGGAGTATTTGCCACATAGAAATTTTTGGTCTCTTAAAGATTTTCAAAGTTTGGTGATCTCCATCCTTAGGATGATGAGGCAGGATCTTCCCAGAGGATACAGGTGAAAGCCTGTTTGTGAGTTATTTTGCCAACCCGGGCAATAAATCCCACTCTGTAGATCAAAACTGAAAATCTAAATTTTTTGAGTTGTTGTAGTTTTGAATTTGGGCGTTGATATTTTGTCACAGTCTTATATTTAACATATAAAGTAATATTACTCTATAATTTTATGGAAAATAACATAAATCAAATGGTTGATTAACGATTAAAAGTATAAATGAAAATTAGTTAACCGGAATGTTTTAAAGGCAAGATATTTATTATTTATTAAATTTGAATAAATATGGAATTATTAAGTACCGTTATTTCAGTAGAGTAGGCAGGGAGATTTTTTCAAAGTTATCCAATAAATAAATATTTTGTTCAGTCCTTCTAAGTATATACAATAGTAATTATTTGTTTTTATTAAAAATACATATTTATTAATATCAGTACAAAAATAAAATATGTTATTGTGAATAGAGCCCTCTAAGTATTTTTTCAACTTTAAGCCCTGACTATCAATTATAATGCCGTCGTTAAAATTTCCGTGTACTAACCCAACGGATAACTAACAGCGACATGTCTATGGGCATATCTAGGCATTTGATAAACGGAGACTTACGTCCAATTTAGAGACCTATTTAATAATATTGCACAAAGTAGGTATACAATGTTAAGCAAAAAAAAAAGGATTTCATTTGTTATTTTCGTGAATGAGGAGCCTGTTTTTATTTGTAGTCAAAGAATTTCAAGAATTTACATTTTTTTTTTTGTATATACATGGTCAAAGTAAGAAGGGATGACATACCTCTACTTTATTTAATGTATTTTTTAATCCTGCATTTAAAAATAATAATCTAAAACAAAAAAATATTACATTCTGCTTAATATTGTATAATAGCACAAAGCTAACATAAATCAATAATTTATGTTGGTATTTTTCTGTTATAAATTTTTATTTTATATTGCTATAATTATTTTAATTAATTTTTTTTAAATTAATACACTATATCATAGTAAGTTTAATAATTTGTTTTAAGTATCCATAGTATTTCTTTAAATTAAGATAATTAATATTAACTAACATTATTGTTTAATATTTAGTTTGTTAGCCAAAAATAAAATTGGAAGGCATTCCTTCACTTATTTTAAACCCTATTGTTCATATACATAAAAACAGTCAATCTAGACACAGATTGTATCATACTACAACAAATTCTAATTGAAAATTTTGTATTGAATAATTTTACTCTTTTTAGGTTTTTATTTTATATTTTAAGTTATGTTTGACATGATATTTTAAATATTTTTTTTGCAATTATATCGGTTAATCACGACTCCAGTTCTAATTTATGCGTTTAACAAATAACATAAGATGTAAAACTCATAAATTTTTTGTTACTCTCGAAATCAGGTTCTTTGAAAATGCGCGTTTTCAGCAAGAGAATGTTGATTTATTTTTTATTTTAGAATTATCTTAAACATATTTTAAAAATTATATAAAATAACCAATTATGAAATTTTAAGTAGCCATTTATAAAATTTACCATGACGTTAAGGGAGGTTATTTTTAAGCTTAAGGGGACTAATTCCCTCAAGTAACCACGCAGTTACGCCAATGCCTCTGTTAGTTAAGCAGTGACTTAGTGAATTACAGGAAATTAATAACAGGCGAAGTTCTATGTCATTACTGGCAGTTCTGGTGTTGTAGCGGCTAACAGCACTGCCATATATCTACATAATAGATCAGTACTTAAGCCAGATGACAGATATTAATACGCTAATACGAACTAGCCAATAGTCAATTTCTAGTATTAGTGCAATACTTCGACCGTTGTCAATACTGGTTCTTTACAAACATTTCTGCTTGGGTCTAGCTCTTGACTTCAAACGGCCTCTTGAGCAATACTTTCAAAAATATTTATTTTGCACTAAAAATGTTTACTTCTAATATTTAATATACTCAAATTCTTTCACATTGTATGTTAAAGGAAGAGTGTTTGTAGGGGACCACATCATTTTTAGCCATTAATACAAATAATCATATTTTGTCATGAGTTTTATAAGATTTGAATTTTATATATAATACATAAAATTAAAATAATAGTTTAATATAAATTAATAAAGTGTTAGGAGAAAATTCTATGATGTATGTATAATGTAGAACATTAAACTAATTTAATTAGTTGCAAAATAAATAATACATAATTCTTTGTGATTATAATCTCAAATTTATTAAATAATAAACAAAATATAGAATATTAATAAATTATTTATATAAGGTGTAGCAATAATAATAAAATTTAATTTTATAGATTTGTATTATTCGCTAAGCTAAATAGAATATAATTAGATTCTTTGTGAATAAAAATATATCCTTAGTAATATTTTTGGATAGGACGGATGTCTATCACTATATCGAATGGAATTATCTCTTGCCACTGTACAAATAGTCCTCACAAATATGTGCTGTCTTCATATTTTATAACACAAAGCAATTTGTAAAATTTATAAAAAAATTATATTGGTAAAATTTTAATCGATAATTTGAAAGTATACTGTATAGTGTCCCACCATGTTCTGACATACTTAATAACTTTCGATTTAATGATATTTTACAACATTTTACAATAATTTACTATTTTGTTTACAGTTTTTGACTACGTTAAAATAATGTTTTTTACGCAATCTAAACTGTAAAAATTATTAAAAAAAAAAGGAACACAAAATATTCACTGGATTAAAAGTTTTTAAGGGTGTCAGGACACGGTGGTACATCCTACATAATTAAATTACTAATATTATGACAATAATAAAAAATATGTATACAATTTATTATATCCAAATCATACCAGAAAATACATATGTTAAATTTAGTATTTTTTTTTTAAGAAAACTAATTTTTTTTTAAATAAATTGCCTCGAAATTAACTTACTATTTATATTTTACACTTCTTCTATGCTTAAATGTGAATAATAAAAATAAAATAATAAATATTGAACATCTTAAGTTTGAATAAATTAAATTTGAAAATACAATATAATTTACTGAATGAACATTGCGTGTGTTAATTTCACGAGTAATTAAACACGTAGGCCTTTTTTTTATAATAATTTGTTGAAAATTGGTATAGCTATCAAAACTCTTTATCCAAAGATTCTTTTAATCCATCTATCAATAATTTTACAGTTGGTGTCAATTTGTTATCTCGTTTAAAAACTAAATCTAGAAAGAATGGATCAGTGAAAAAATCAAATATTTTATCTATCCTTGTCATTGTTTTATCCGTAAGGTGTCTTTTAGTTAGTTGCTTTAGCATTTCACGACAAGTAAATAAGTTATTGATCAAGTAATTTCTATCGTAACTAAAATCTATTTCATAGAAACTCACAGAGATCATAGTGAGCTCTTTAAATTTGTATTTAAAATCGTGAGCCAATACTAATTCGCTTTTGTTGAATTGATCATTTCTATATAATATACCTAATTTCACTATTATTTTTATAATATTTTTTGTAAGTTTTTCAGAATCCTTTTTATTTCCAGTCTGAAAAATTATGAGAGAAATATTAATAAAAAAATTTGTTTTAAATATTTTTGTTTATTAATTTACATATAACTTTGTTAGCCTGTATAAGTTATCCAAAATATTAGCATTTCGATCATCGATAAAAAGTTTAACCACATTTTTATTTGTTACTTTACTTAAGAATTTTTTTTGAACTTGTAACACAATTTCTTTTGACTTAAACACTTCCGTCATACCTAAAATTAAACAATACTGCATAAAACAATGTACTTAATATAATTTACACCGTCATTATAACGTTTGTTCGTTTTCGAGTAGTATTTTGTTTTTTTATAGTTCAAAAATGTTAAGATTTAAGCTAGTGAACTATTACACTATACACACGTAATGCAATGTACCGATAAGCAAGACTTGCGCAGCATAATTACTTAGTTGTTAATTCTACGTATCTGTTCGGTAAATGCTAATAATACATCAGCGACAAAGTATTTAAAAAGAAAATGACTCATGATTGCATAGTATTGTTTTTTATTGAAAGTACTGCGTTTTGCACAAGGTCAATATTAATTACAATCATTTATCAGAATCTACTGGATCTACTGATCAACAATATTTGTTATATACTGAATAATGACCATAGTTTAAGTAGAATAAATTACACGAGAGAAGCGCAGGCGAACTGAATTACGAACAAGTATATTTTAATATACATACATTTATTAAATATGTATGAATATTACTTGTTTTATACGACCTATAATTATCGTGGAATGAAAATAAGTGGTTAAATTCTTAAGATAATTTTGCAAATAGTTTAGTACATTTACTCGGTGCATTTTGGTTCTTCATAGACGCGTACACGGGTGTGTTCTACAAAAACAACTAACATTTATTTAAATTGTTCATCATAAATCACACTAGATATAGATGATAAGTTTAAATATTTTTTCTTGTTTATAGTTCTATAGATTTTTTAAATTATTTATAAACGCTCATAAAACACACTTCAGAATGAAAATTGTTATGAAAGTAATGTTATTATAATGTTCATCCCTTATGTATTATTAGGATGTTAACTTTATTTTTTAAATGGCAACATACATATCTAACTAGATTATAAAATAGACAAAGATCTAATTAAGAAAGTTAATAGCAGTATTATACCTATGGGAGGAGGAATGAGGCCGAAAAATGATAAAAATAGTAAATTCCTCGCTTCACCTTCACTTTATATTTTAAAATGTTAATAACTTCCAAAGTATTAAACCAAAATTTTTTATAGACAAATCATTTTCTATTCTATAAACTAGTAAAATATGTAAATTGTTATTAATTGATTAATCCTCAATTAAAATATCAATTTTATTAGGTAAAATATCTAAATTAAACTAAATTGTGGTAACAGTATTATTCGTACTATTTTATTCAATAATAATTCAAATAGGACTCACCAAAAAGTATATTTTGCACTTGATGTAAAAATGTATTATTCTTTTAACGTTTATTCGTTGTATTTAATTATTAAAGTACAAATATTTTCATTTTATAAGAAAAATTACATGAAAGTTAGCTTAATACAATATAAGTTAATTATAATTTTGGCTTAAAAAATATTTCAATTTCTTAAAATAATTCAATGAAACAAAAATTATTTGTTATTAAACGTATTCACATCCTTCCATGGTGTTGGTATACAGGAACTGGACTAAAACCGTTCGCACACGCGGTGGAAGGAAACAGCTGCCTCTTTTGATATTCGAACGGCAGTTATAATAATAAAGTGAGCGTTGTGCTATAGAAAATATGCGAATACAGCTGCTACCTTTGTTCACATGTTTGTGATATTACACTGACCATAAATGTCAAAAGAAAATAAAAGTACCTGTAGATATGAAACACTATTTCATAATTTAATACTTCAAAATATATTTTGTATTATTATATTTTATTCAATTTAGAATATAGTTATAAATATATAACATCGTTAATGAGAAATCTGCATATGAACTTTGTATGCATGTGTATTTAAATTTTTTATCTTATCACAATTTTGACATATTTATTATTTCTTATTCACTGGGTATCGTCCAAAAGGTCTATAGGACAAAAATATTGTTCATTGATAATATTTGGTCTAATAAATTTTTTTTTTAAAAAATACTTTCTTTGTACGAATCTTAGTCATTTAAATTAAAATAATGATTATAATATGGCAGTGCTTTATACTCTTTTAATTTTTACTGATTATAATTTTTTTTTAAACTATTTTAACTAGCACTCTAAAATAAAATTATAACTTCCTTCATATTATTGTTTAAAATTAAACAAAATGAGTTTTATTTTACTTTATAATCATTAATTCTACAAATAGTTAAAAGATGTCCACAACGTGGACATCATACTCCCTTGTTATTTACATTATTTATCAATGATATTAAAAGTTCATTTGTTAACTGCTGTTTCCTTCTCTTTGCTAATGACATCAAACTATTTTTAAAAATTAATTCATATAGGGACTGCTTATTACAGGATGATCTTAATTCTCTGCTAAATTGGGCTAAAAATAGTGGGTTGGAGCTGAATACTTCAAAATGTCGTTTTATAAAATGATGAGTATTGCTAATAAGGACCCATCAGCTTTATTATATTATTAATTGTTGTATTTTTGTATTTTATATTATTATTTTACATATAATTTAAGTTTATTATTCTGAAATTTTGGCATGTCCCGTAAAGAAAAAATAAATAAATAAATAAAAATATTTTTCAACTATTTTTAGTCATTTTATAACGACTAAAAATTATGAATAGAATATTCTGTTCATATTTTGAATTGGCTTTCTACCTTTAATCATAAATAATTCTTATAGATTTTTAAATATTTTTTTGTGAGCAATTGACGTATGGTTGAATGGAATTGTAATCTCCTAAAAATTCAGAATAATCAAATATATTTTTCTATGGAAACTTTTCTTAGTAAGCGAGTTTAGTCGTTGAGAAAAGTTGACTATCTTACACATATGTTACAAGTAAAAGTTCATAATTTTATTTAAAAGTAGTTATGTATAAATATTATTTCAAGTAAAAATATAGAATATAAACATTGAGAACGAAGAAAGAACTCTGATAACGCACCTGCCATTAAGACTATAGTTTATTTTTAAAAAACTCGTTATAAAATCTTCTTGAAAGGCTTGGAAAATGTATTTAGTGACCATTTTCTGTGTTACCGTATAAGTGCGCTAAAGCATAATGAATAATGAATTAAACTTAAAAGTCATCATCAATCATTTTTACTTGTAATTTTTAATTAATAATTAAATTAAAACATTTATGTTTTAAAAAATATATTGACGTAAATTAGCATTAAATGACGATAATAAGTTGAATTTTCATTATATTTCATATAAGTGATATTTTACAGTTATGTATTAGTAAAATAATAATAAATAGTATATCATTAAAAATTTAACAAAATTTTACAAAATATTAGTTGTTTAAATATTTTAAACGTCACTTATTACCAAGGCATGGAATTTGAAAAAATATATTATTTCTCGTTGTTTTTAAAGCTATTTATTGTCAATATTATTTTAGACGTTTTTTCGTTATAACATTTCTGATGTAAAGGTTATTCAATATGCAGCGTTAAAAACGACTTACATAGCGTGTTTAAACATTATAAAACATATTAAAATGGTTAAAAACTGATTCTTGAAGTGAAACTTCTTTAAACGCGTTAACATAAGAATAAAATTCACTCTACAAACTCAATAAAAAATGTGACAAAATTAGAATTTCAATTTTATTTAAATTTTAAGTAATAGAATAATATTTAAGTAATATTTGAAAAAACGTTACAAAATCTTTCGTTGTTGAGTTGGAATTGAACTCTTGTTCAAAAAGTATGGCGCGCATTTATATGCATTCATAAATTTTGTAAGCTAATCCCGAGCACACCATCAGTATAAATTATTATTAAATGGCTTTATAACTTAGTAATATGTTATTATTGAGATTAAATTATTGAAGGTGATTAGAGAAATTTATTCCTCCCCATAAAAACGAAAAATATTTCTATGCTACTCTGCGATTCTATGATTAAGTTGCACAAACTTGGTACCCTTCTAAGTGACCTAAACAAAATTTATACATGCATTTAATTTCGCACCCTACTTACAAGGAATAAGAAAAATATACATAAAAAAACAAGTTACAATGAATGTATCTTAGGACTCTATCCCGAAATAACGTATTTACCCCACTAAACCCAACAAATATTGTTTTTATTTTTTAGTTTTGTTTAATTGTATTGCTAAAACTTATTATATAGTAATGATTTTTTGTTTTATAATTTTATACATTTTTTCGCTTTAAAACTGTTTTATTATTTTTACTAATTAATAAAGTAAATTTCACTACGCAAAAGATTAAATAATGATCTTATTTTTATTAAAACATAGTAAAATGTTATTTTATACAAAAAGTAGTCTAACTAGAGAACAATGTTATCACTTCAGTTTTTTTTTACCTATAAGAAGGTGGATAAATTCATCTTGGTTATAACGTTACAAAAACACTATCTAACCCTGTTTTTTACTATTGTTAACTTACATTTCAACTTTATTTGGTTATTATTATTTATTTATTTTGATTCATATTTATATCATATGATACGATATACATTTATATAATGTATATTATAGGTACTTCGGACAATATTGACACTAGTTAAGTAAACAAATATTTTAAGTATTTAAATTTTATATATTTGACAAATATTTTAATAATATAACTTATTTCAAATAACACTTGCCATTTAGCGTCATTAAATATTTTAATTATATATTAACGTATAATAAATAATTACTAAGTAACTAGAAAAAAAATACATTTTATGTACATATTTTTAAATTGTTTTCATAGAGCATAAACGTTATGAAACTATGAAATCAATGTTAATTATAAACTAAACAGTGAGTCTTTGAAAATTATTTTAGTAGATAAATTATCAAATGGAATAAGTAAGAAAGTTATTGGTATAATTAAAGAAATTAGATTTTTAAATGGTATAAAAACCAAAGGTCGTGGAGAAGATATTCATTTGACAATTATTCATCAAGTGTTTGTATTTAAAATACATAGACAAAAAGAAATTTTAGATATTTTAGGGCATTGTCTATGTCTAATAGTAGTACAAATAAGATCACTCAAGGATATGATGACTAGTTCTTTTTAATTTTTGCGTTCAACGTTTTTTTTTTGTTATTAAAAATATTACCCTTCTTTTCTCTTAAAGCAGAATTTTATACATTATTCAAACAAATCGTTAGCAAACTGACGAATCAAGAAATATTCTTGAAACTTGTCTTCCTATCCCCGTTGATAAAATAATAATATGTTAATATATCGTTCTTCAACTTAATTACAAAATTATAATATAATCAAAAATTTATACAGAGTTATAAAAATTAATACTTGAGAATTAAAAGAATTTGTTATGCAATTCTCACTAATTTTTTAATATTACAATTTGGTACATAAGATGTATCAATTACAGTTATTATTTTTACAAGTAAAAATACAAAGCACTTATAAGTAACTCTAAGTGCTTAGACGGATTATGATGAATTTTAGATGATGTATTTTAGTATGAAGGTACAAAGTTGTCATTAGAGGTCTAAGGGATTTTGTTCGATTCGTATTTACAAAAAAAAGAATAAAATTAATTATGCATTTAACTTGCATTGGAACATCACCCATCAATTTTGTCAACTTAATCGAAACAGTAACCACGCAAATGTTGTTATCACCCACAACGAGTGAAGATGACTACATTGGTTGCTACCACCGTGTTGCATTGCTGCTGGCGTTTCACCTAAATAACAACAAAAAATACATACAAATGCAATAAAAATAATTATGTAGACCCAACTGTATGCATAACTTATTATTTTTTTTTTAATTTCACTTATACTCCATTTATTTTACGCATTTCAAATGTTGTTCATATAAAAAAAAGTGTTTTTAATCAATTTAATTTCATAGATACAGAGAGATGTAGTTACGAATTTATACTTTAAATACAGGAAAAAAAATGACAAGGCGTGCTAACCTCGATCCAGTAACCAACAAGGTAAGTCTAAGTATTGGTTCATGTAACGACTAAAATATATTAATAGATTCTTAAACTTTACTCTAAGAACCTAAAAGTGTATAAGTCTTATACACTTTTACTATACTATATCTTATACTATAAGATGTACATAAAAGTACATTTAAGTGTAATAATTTTTTTATAAATTATAAGTATTAATAATTTTATTTAACAGTCAGACCCTAAAAACATATTCCCCTATCTCCCTTAATATGTATTTGTACTTGACAGTAAAAATAATTTTTTTTTACTTTAAAAATGTAAAAATAACTGAAATATTTTTGTAATTTGTAAAACGATAATTTATTTAAAAGCTTAGAAGTATTATCTGTATAATAATAATTTCCATTCTTTATTACATACATGTATTAATTTAGAATATATTTATTCATAAAATATTTCATTTAAGTAACATATTATTTTTTTTAATAAAGTATTATTACCGTTCAGGACGTGTACAGTGACTGATGTTCGAGCTATGTCTGTCAGAGAACATGTATATTTTCCAGAGTCTGATGTTTGAGCGTTAGCAACAAAAAGCCTACTCTTGGCTCCATTTGTGAGTATATCAGTCTTCACACTAGATAAATAAAAATATTTAAATATATTAGATCAGCAGATTTCTTTAAATGTATTACAACTTATTAATTATTTTGATTAAAAATTATTTAAAAATTTTACCAGTCAATATTTTTTATTGTTAGTTCCTGTAAGATGTGAATTACAATAATGTTATATCATTTTCATATTATATAATAGGATTTTTTTAACGGTAGTCATTCGGATTCTCTTAAAATAATAGTATTTTTTTTGGCTTTTGTTCGTGACATATATATATTTATTTATTTGTCATAGAATATTTTTTTATGTTCATCACTTACATGTTATAGAGGTGTCAAATTAATTTTTTTAATAGATTTTTATTTTCAAACATTTTATAAAATCAGTTTGAAATAATATATTACTTACAAATGAATCAAAATCGAAATGTTTAATATATATTTAACATTTTATTATTAAATATTAAATAATACAATTCTAACCCTAAGATATTATTATTTATAAATATTTATTCGAGTACGAAAACAATCGGATATTTTATGTGAAATATCTGATATTTTTAATTGTAGAATAAACAATCAGAAACGATACATTCCGTCTGTAACGTAAAACGTCGATGTAACTTGAAATTTTCAAAAATCTAACCATTCATATTTTATATTTTCAAAATACATTGATATCTTGATGAAAATTGTATAACCTAATAAATGTATAAAAAATATACATTATTTTCGAAATCAGTTTAGTAGTTAACCAACTAGAATGTTAAATTAATTGGAAGAATCAAATAATAGAATTATTACATAAATAATGCTCGAGTTTACTTTATTGCTATGTGTCAAGGAAAAATAATTTATGATTTCTTATCATAAACTTATCAGTATACTATTAATAATGAATTTAATATATTTTGGATTAAAACTCATGTACCAAAATTTAAATGATGCCATCCTTTTTTTTAAATTGAAATTTTGTCTTTTTTTCCATCTGTAATTTGGTGCCCAGAGACCAAAATTCCTCGCCTCTTTTAATTTTAGGCTTGGAATTTTGTGTTAAAAAAAAACATATTTTTTCAATTTATGAGACATTTATTCCTAACGCAATTAAGTACTTGTATACAATTTGTCCATATAAAATAAAGCAGACTGTTTAAAGTAGTATGCTTATTTATTTTGGTATTAAACCAAAAAGTGAGCTTGACCATAGTAAACTTTAATTTTTAGTAAGGTCAGGTACATTGCTTTGTAAACTTAAGTGAAGTGTTCTAACTATACTAGAAAAACGATATTTGCTATTGTTAAAATATATTTATTTTATTAGTATTTATTTATTAGTATTACCCATTGCACAATCTAAGTTACAAAACAAAGCGGCTATATTGATTTTTAATTACTTAAAAATATTGCTAGGTGACATGATACAGTTCTGTTTGGCAGTTTCTTATAAATAATAAATTGGAAATGTTTATTAGTACAAGTCATTTAGCATTAGTAAGTATTATCGTTTTATACACTTATATATTTAATTAATAAGTAAACATGTTACACAAGTTATATATATTAAGGTGTCTCTTATTTTTAAAATTTTGTAAATTCTTCGAGCTCATCCGCCAAATTTGTGTTTATACATAAAAAAGTGACTACAAAAAATTTCAACCGTTTAGATAAGTTTAACTCGTGCCGACTTGGGGTTGAAAATTGGGCAAAGAGAGTAGTTTTTTAGTTCTTAGCAATTAACGAGTTAATTAGAGCTCTCACAAAAAAATGTATAAATTAAAGTGTAAATCTGATTTTTTATATATAAATTCAGTTATACATTTATTTTTCTAAATCTATTAGTTTTACAAAAAAATGTCAAAATACGTAATAATTCGTAAAATTGTCCAAATCAGAATATTTACGAATATTTCATCATATCATATGTGATACAACCTAATATTTCATACAAATTTTGTTTAAAATTAAATTTTACAAAATAAAAGTAAAAATTTCATTGAACCAATCGTTTTATTGCTATAGCTGAGATAGCTCGATCATATTACGATTTTTACTAAATATATAAGTTTTATTGCTAGATTCTGTTAGTTATCATCTGCTATATGATAAATAATACTCTACGCAAGTATACCTTATTTATCAAATAATATAATTATAAGTTCTTCTTCATCCATAAAATCTGGAAACGAAAAACCATTTAATGTTTTAGCAAAATAGAATAAAAGGCGGCAAAGAAATGTCATAGCAGCGAAACTCGCAGCTGCGTCAGATTGGTGTAAAATATGTGCACGAGACGCAATTTATATTATTCAGGAAATAGTTGAAGCTTTATGTCATGAAATCGATTCTCTTATCATAAATAAGTCTTCAGTACATAGATGCCGCGATTACGTATTTTGACATTTTTCTGTAAAACTAATGGACTTAGAAGAAGAACTGTTATAACTTAATTTATTTTTAAAAATAAGAACATCCTAATACATATATAGTTAAAATAATTACACTCGCGATATAACGATCTGTGTTCGGTAAGGTGGTTGGCATACTCTATATATTGTTCCTTGCGTTTGCTGTTTCTATCGTTGTAAGTCAGTTGTCCGTTGTTGATACTGTTTTAAGTAGGTTGTTCGGAAAAACCGATGTTTCACATATTCATTAATTTTTCAACTATTATCGAGAGTTGATTAAATATGATGAAATGAATCGACTGATCCGTCAGAACCGTCGTGTCTTACATGCTAAAGGTGGCTTCATTTTTGCCCAGGCCGCATTTGAAGGAATGCAAATCTTACTCTTTGTACCCGGCGGCAAATTTACGTCTCATTTTAAGAGGCGGCAAATTATCACGAAGCACAATGATATCCTGGTATTACATAAAAATTTATCACCAAAAGATTGCAATTGTTATGTTATATTCATAACTGAAAAATATATATGCTATTCTACAACTTGTGACCTTCTTATTTTTGCTCAGTGGGGCGATTTAATAAATTGGCTAAAGGCGCCAAAAATCCGAAAGCGACTCTATAATTGCCTGTGAAATACATTTCCTTGGTTATTTGGTTTTCTATTATGTATTATCAATATTATTAAGTTGTTATAATATATGTATTTTAGTGTTCAATGTGCGTTTTGTTATTCCTAGCTGAAGTCTTTTATATATAATGTTACAAATATTCCGTTTATTTTAAATAAAAAATACCCAGCACAGGGGGGTCATGGCACAGTGGTGACGTGGCATAGTTGGATCAAGTATAATGATATCTGACAGTGATTAAAATCGCTATCAAAAATAAACGCTTCGATGCAAATCTTTAGATTGTGTTTAATTTTAAAAAAATTAGTGTATTATTCCAAAAGCTACATGATCTGCTAGTTCCTTATTAATATCTTGATTAAGATAAAGTATGTCGAATGAAAAAGGGATTATTAAAAAATATTATTTCTCATAAAAAAATTGTGTTGATCCATACACTTTTCAATAAGTTATAGCATTATAAAGTAAAAAATGTAAATTATAAAATCGAGAATTTTCACACAAAAATAGCATTTGGTAGCCATTTTCACCATGAAGACAAGTCCAGAGGTCAAAATTTTTTTTTTCAAATTAAAGTATATTACATTAGCTTTAATTTAAGATATATATAAAAGTGTCAGACCTTCCGGAACATTTTCAAAAGTTAAGTTGAAAAAGTTAATTTTTTGTGAAAAAGTTGTCTTTTTAAATCCCCCCCTGTGGGCAGATAAAGGGTCAAATTTACAAAAAAAATATATCAAATGATAGGTAAAGACATCAAGCATCTATAAAAAAAAAATTATATTGATATGTGTCATTTTTGAAAAAATTACGGCACATTTTAGTAAAAAAAATTGAAAAAATTTCGAAAATTAGCGATTTTAAAATTTGTAATTTTTTTGGAGGTTTCCCCCATTTACGGGGAACGAGGGAAATTTTTTCAATTTTTAAGGTAATGTCTTCGACTAGATACAATTTGTGATCTTTTGACGTATCGTTGAAAGAAATCCATTCGGTGAGAACTGAGAAAAAGTGGTAACAGACATTAAAAAAAAACACATCATAGTAAAACCAATACCTTCTCAGCTTCGCATCGAAGCTAAAATAACATAGCCACATGTGAACAATTCTTATTATATTTGGATTATTTAGTTTCGCAAAACCACTCAGTGGATGTGCTATCTAGTGTCGTTATCACCAACCACTTCTCCAGTTTTATTATGATACCGCTAGATAGTAATCGCTGGGTGTGCTATACCTCTGCATGGGTCGTTTTATAATGTTTACACACTGCATCATTGTTTCATTCAAAAAATTTTCCATATTATTATTTAGTAACAGTATCAAAAGTCTTCTACGTTTAAAATGTTACAAAAACATATTCATAAAATAAATATGTTTTTGTAAAAAATTTTTTTTAACTGTTTCAGTGTAATCATTTCATAAATATCATTAAGTAACATCATATAAACTCATTATTCTACTATTTTTACTTTTTTTAAATGACATTAATGATATTAATGATATTTTGAACAATTGTTATTTTTTAATGTTCGATGATGATGTAAAACTATATACTCACCTATACATATGTTTGCATCAAATTACAAGATTATTTACGGGACCGGTGATTATTGTGTCTACGACCGAAAGGGGGTTACCACAAAGAGGCTGTAATTTTACATGGTTAATTATTTAATAATGAAAATACAATTTTTTTTTTTTTGAGGAATCAAATATCCTTTATTAATACTCCTCTAAACAAAACCCTTATTACGCCAATAACTATGTCATTGGTTGTTGTACGAAGTCTCCAAAGCTTTGGGCTCGTGGTATGTTTCCCATTCATTCCGTACTTGCTCCGGGACTGATTATACACATAATAGGTGTAGCATATTATGTAATATAATTTATTGATAAGATTACATTAATATAAATTGTAATATTTTGGCTTTTTGTAAGTCGTTTGACCAATAAAAACTCAAGTTTCTTATTATTTTTAGAGATTATTTGTCAGAAGTATGTCAGTAGTTTCTACTTCCAAAGTACAAAACCATTGGTAATGTTATAAAAATATAGTCGATCTTATATTTATTAACTTAAAACACTAGAGGAATAACGTGTATTCTTTAAAAATAAACTAAAACGATATTTCGGACCAAATAAATAAACATGTAATGCGGTATTATCAACGTTTTTTATCTCCTGCATTATTTCACGAAAATTCTTTATTATTTTTATCGCCAAGTAAATCATTGGAAGTAGTTGAGTGTTTACTATGTTTCTAAAAAGCAATTTTTCACATCAATTCTAATCTTTCTTCGTTTTTAATACTAAAGTACTTGTATTGGTAGTGATATATATATCCATCACGTGTGTTTTTTAATGCCAGGTTTGATTTTTTTTTTTAGAAAATATTTATATTTGTTCTGAGTGAACTTTTTTTTTAATACAGTTGCTTGTCACTTTCTCTTATAATTGATATAATGTATAATGAAAAATCCTTAATTTTGATGGTCTTGATCATATGAATGAATAATAGATATTTAAAATAATAAAATCATTTACTACAAATGATCAAATGATCATTTACTATCACTTAATACAAACTACAAAAATAAGAAATGAAAAAATAAAATGTGGATTGGTCTATGTTGAGAATATTTTATATTTTGCTTTTTTTATATTGAGAATCGCCCCTAAAGGTTTTGGAAAGAATTTATTAATAATATTTGTTTGGTGGAGTATTATTATCAATTAAATTAATTATAATTTATTAAAAGTAATATAATTACATCCTATTGTATAATATTTTGTTTTACATAAAAAATAAAACTGTACAATTGTTTTATTTATTATTATTGAACGGTTTGTTAATTGAGTGATACTTTTATTATATTTTCATTTATTAAGTCGCACGGTCACTGCGTGAAATATGTAATAGGGAATACATTATAAAATAATAATAATTTAGTATTTGCTAGTTATTTTTTTTCAAAATAAACAGTCATGAGTAAACTCAATATTGTAAACTTTCTCATTTCAAACAACTTCCAATAATGGACATATTTATTGGCCTCGCGAGAGTTTATTACTGGAAAAATATGCTCTTGTCTCCTATATTACATTAATTTTATCGTATGACAATTTATAATCATAAATTGTATTTTGTTTCTGTTTTATTTTTTGAAAATCTAGCATTATGTGTTATTTATTATTAGTTAATAAATCATATTTTTGGCTTTAGACTTTGTAATATGGCACGTGTAACGTACAAATCAAAATTATTTTAATAACCAACAAAATTATACGTCTATAGAAATATAAAACCTTTTGTTACAAACTATAACAATTTGTTGTATTACCTGATGCCACCTCGGCTAGTGTCGTAATTTAGGTTAGTTGACTCATGACGCCAAACGATGAATTGACTGGGTTGGGGCACTTTAGTTATAAAACATTTCAGCTCTATTGTACTACCTACATAGTAAAATTTATCTTTTACTGGAACACCCCTTTCGTCGGTGATTTCAAGTTGAGGTACTGAAACAAATAAATAATTAAAATAAGAATGCATTTTTAAGAACTGAAGAATCGCATAAATTTTAAGAAAGGTTAGTTATGCACTTAAATGTTCAAGAAAATACAAATAAATGTTTTTAGCTTAGGACATAGAGTACTGTTATTTGCAGTGCTCGAAGGTGGAAAAAAAAAAGTAGAGAAATTCTAAGAACAACAAAAAAAGAGCGAAACATCTTTTTTTGCTTATCCCACCAAGAAAAGATAATTAAAATATAAATAAGACTTTTTGAATAAAAATAACAAAATTATCAGATTCCCAGTTACTTATAGCAAAAAAATTAAACAGTTTTTTGATAAAATTAAAATAAAAAGATTTATTTTCAAGAAAACATGATAATTAGAAAATCTTTTACAAATGTTGTAGTTGGATAAATTTATTGTTCCATCGTGTTTTCCCATAAAAAAATTAAGAGTTCGTAAAAATAAAAATTAAGGAAACTCCATCTTCTTGCGTACCTCCTTATTTGGAGAACTGGTATTGGTACTTTAAAGAAAATATCTATCTTTAAATCAGTATATTTATTCTATTGTCACAGTTGGATGTTTAATTAAAATAATTGAGATGGGTGGTAGAAATAAAATTCAATAAGCAATAAATTCGCATTTCATTTACAATTAGTACTATTTTTGTAAAGTAGAGAACTTCAAGATAAAGAGCTAAGAAAGGTAGAGGATTAAAAAAAAAACTAAATAGGCAAAAATATCTAATACAAAACTTTTAGTTTGAATTTGATTTATTTATATATTTCTGATTTTGAAGAACAATTTGTGTCTAGGTAAGCCACTTAAACCATTTTTATATATTACACAAAAAATGCAATTTCTTGAAGTTTTAAAATAATCATGCTTCTCATAAGCGGAAAAAAATAAATTACGTTTTTTTTGCTCAACATTGCAAATTTAGGGCTTGTGTAGTATTAAATAAGTCTCAAAAAATAGTGCAACTGTAGGCCCCGTATTTAAATTTCTAGTTATGCCCATGAATAGTACGTTTAGCGTACTATTAGATTTTTTTACAAGTACATTTTAGTAACTTACATTGATTATAGATATATTTTATACGTGTATTTCCCTAGTTACCCTATATTTAAAAATACATAAACTTATTAATTATTGACATTTCTTATTAAATAAATAATATTATATGTATTAATAATAACTGTGTTTCAAAACATTACTAATGTTATATTGAATTTGTCATATATGTAGAAACCTTAATAAATCATACCATATCTATACATATTATTTAATTAACTATCGATCGGCTTAATTTTTGAATAATAACATTTCAACATTAAGCTATTATTTGCAATTATTTAATACATTATTCATACAAATGGAATTCAAAATCCTACCTAACATTTATATTCATACTAAATTACTACACACCCTATGTAAAAAAAAATTAATAATTATTTATATTAAACTTGTAACATAAACGATGTATCGCTTCTGTCTATTCTTTTAACTGAAATAAAACACCACACTCAGAATACATCGTGTCTGAGTGTATTCAACAAATCGGTCATAATTTTAGAAACATGTAATCATAATACTTCATTTTTGACAAAACTGTAGATAATACTTTTACCGATTAAGGTTCAACTTTAGCTTGTAATACGGATTGTTATATGATATAAATAATATTAAGGATCTTTGAAAAACATTTGTACTAGTTTTCAATAATGGCTTTAAATATAATTTCCATTTTATTCACAGTACTTACCTATGATAGATAAATATACAGAAAATGCGATCGGTGGGTGTGTAGAAACTTGACATTCGTAATGACCTGCGTCTCTTTCATTCAGATAAGATATACGTAGTTGCCAATCGTTGGGGTCCTTGAACAAAAGTTCATATCGTTGATCTGTACTGTATACATGATGACCGAAAGATAGTAACTGCATTTTATCTCCAGTTCTTCTTACCCACGAAACCTACGGCATAATGAAAAAAAAAGTATATTTCGGTGTTATTAAGCATGTGATTAAATATATTTTTCAAACAAAGGCGACTGAAGAAAAATATTCTAAAAGAAGTAACTTATAAGCTTAACTACGAGTAAAATGAACCGAGGACTTCTCGATAATTTTCAATTATAAATATTCACCGTCATTCAAGAAGTGACCAAGTGATCATATTTGATTTAAATTTTTCTTTAAACAATTCAAAGAGTTAATTAAATATTTTTAAATGAAGTAATATAATAAAATTTTAGAGGATTGTTGTTATTTGTTTAGCGCTGATTATGATAATCTGATTGATGAAATACCTATTCACGTTTTTTTCTAAGAATATTATGGCTTTTAGTGTTTTTAACAATTTTATTAAATTTAAATATATTTTTTAATTTTAATTAACATTATCTGCAAGATGATCATTGTTTTTTAAAATTGAAGGTTAATATCTTAATAGTTTTCCAAACTTAAATTTTGAAAAATACATTAAAACTAAAATACAAATGCCTATTATCAATTATCAATTATTTTTAAAAATGAGATTTCGATTTTTAAAGAGAGTACATAATTTAAGAGAGTAACAGAGAGCAAATATTAATTTGGTTATTGATTTCACAATAAATGAAATTAGAGTAAAAATAAATACTTTGGTTTTAATAAAAATGTATTCATGTCAAACTCAAATATACGTCAATAAAATTTATTAAAACCAGCTTCAAAATATGATTAGTTATTAATATATTAAATATTTAAAAATGTTCCATTAAAATGCTGTTCTTGAAAAATATTAAAGAAGTGATATATGAATTTAAACTTAGTTGACATTTCTTTAGTTTTAATCATAAATAAAATTGTGAGTCTGTTGGGTATTTTGCAGTCATTAACTTATTTTATCACATTCTAAATTAATAACACATTGTAATATAAAGCATAATATTTATTTAATATATATATTTATAAATACATCTGTATATACCTGTGGTATAAATAGTTATCATACAATATAAAGTTAAGTACACCAGTTTCTTCAAATAAATCATTTCATGACTACAAAGGTGTGAAGTCATAAAAGTACCGAAAAAAGTTTATGAGTCTTCATTAAACATTCCGATCTCTTTTCTTAAAATCTAAATATCTAAATCTGGTTGGTCATTAAATGTTGACAATCATAATTGTTTTAGAATAATTTAGTTTATTTTCTATCAATATTGAATATCATGTTCTATATCTAACAATATTTGTACATTTTCAAAGAACCCTAATTTCTTCTAATTGAAATGTTGCTCTTGGTTCTTACTTTTAATTTTCAAATCATTAATTATTACTATGAGTATATAATTTATTAATTCATAGTTGAACTATGTTTTTTTACAAAAAACGTGTAGGAAGGCATTGTGTAGTGGAACTTAACAATAACTAAGGCATAGTTCCAAACAAGCTGACAAATTTTCCTCTGTCGTGACCCCAGACCTTTTGTTTGCAAAAGTATTCAATGTAGACATATTATGGGATATTCTACAGTTTGACGTAGTCTCCTACCATCGTATAATATGGACATTCTCTACTATATTGTTTCATCAATATAGGCGATATGTGATGGAACGCGTACTTTATACAATGTTTGTTGTATATAGTGTTTACGAAATGAAAAAAAAGAGTGATAAATATTCGCATAACAAAAAAGAGATATGGGTATAAAAAAGCCATGAAGTCAAAATAAGAGGTAATTTGTCTAATTTGAAGTGTTTACGGGTACATTTTATGTATAGACTTCTATCATTGAGAATGGCTTCTAATAAATAAGTTGCTTTATTTTGGTTAAATTATTATGAGTGGCTCATAATATTAACCACTCGCAATACATGGCCAATGGTTAATGTGTCAGTGGTCATAAAAATTATTAGCTCCATTACTATTATATTAATTTTTGTAGGTATGAAAAACTTGCTAAAGACCACGTGTCCTCATTTAGTTGGTCGCAGATGTTTACTCTTTATTGTTAAAAATGATAGTCATTAGTCTAAAAAAAAATTCTTTTTACAAAAACAAATTAGAATTACCTATAGATTAAGAAAAATAAATATTTAAGTTTTGTTAAATAAAATTAAGCCTTAGTAAACATAGTGATGATTTGGTATTGTGAGTATAGATTGATATTTGACAGAAATAAAAATCACTACCAAAAACACTATAAAATAAATGTGTAAAATCGAAAATACGTAAAAAAACCCAACTGATTACTACAATACAAAAATATGTGACATTTTAATTTTTTTAATCATTAAGTCACTTAAAAATCTTTAATTTGATATTAGTAAAACATTGTCAGACTTTCCGAAAGATTTTTAAAAATTAAAAAGAAAACAATTTTTCATTGTGTGGGTTAAACCGTTTTGTTTTAAAATGAGTATTTTTTTTTGACAGACTAAAAAAAACATTGTAAAATTAATATCTTCTCAGACTCGCATCGAGACTAAAATAATTTAAGTATACTATCCTAAAATTCAGTACTCTGCTCATTGTTGAAAGCCTTAATTCTATTGTTTAGAATGTGATTGCAGTCGTAAGTTTTGATAATTAAAAATATTTATTTTAAAGTTCAAACAATAATCAAGAAATAAATACCGAACAAATTTCACTACTGATTCAAAATAGTTACGAACAAATGCACATGATTAAGCAATTAGTATTTTAATTTATTTTGAAAATTAATACACACCAGAATTTTATGTTGGTACAAAAATTTTAAGGAAATGATAGTTACTTTTGTAAGTATAGCTCGACAGAAATTATTTGCAAAACAAATTTTTATGATCTACAATCCATTTCATCAAATATGAATCTTTTTTTTAAACCAATGTTTCGCGCTTATTTCAAATTTGTTTTCAGATTTCAGCCCTTTTTGTTTTTAGATAATTTCTAATTACTTAAAATCGGATAACAAAAGTTATATTTAAAAATTGTTATTCATTTTTAACTCATTAAATGTGATTTGAGATAACGTTTCTATTAATATAACATGAAATTACATTTATTAATAAAAATAAACGATAGTGCATTGGGTCACGACACAGTTTGGACGTGGCATAGTTGGGACAAGTATAGATGATATCTGACACTAATTTAAATCACTATCATAAGGAAATTGGTGGATTATTCCAAAAGAAAAATTAACTCCTATTTCATTTATTATTCCTAATTAGTAGTTCTATGATTTATAAGTATAATATAAGAATAAATATCTATTATAGCAATTCAACGCAGTATGAAATTGATATTTAATAATTTAGTACTGTAATTTTTACGAAAATTTATAAAGTAATTGTTACTATTATGGCAAAAGTGTCTAAAAATTGAAATGCTCGATGGAATACTTAAAAAAAAACTGTTTGTTTCTTATGAATATATTTACTTTTAATATAATGTACTTATCTAAACTCATTTTTGTACTGATTTCAAATCTGCCATTAGATTTTTTCTATCACCACTAATTTTTGAAATGATTAATATTTAGTTAAAAGCAACTATTAACATATAAAAAAATAACCAAAAAAATATTGGTTAAAATGAAATTTCAACAACACAACACGAGACGAAATCATAGGTGAAACTAGGCACGGAATATTTTTGATTATCAGTATATTATAGAATACTATAGGATTACAACTATACGGAAAATAGTTCTGAATATTTCAGTTGTTGTAGCATCTAATTAAACACCAAAAGTTACATAGAAATGATTACTAAGACTTCTATTTAAATGATTTATTTCAATAAAAATACAAAATAATAGTGATTTAAACAAAATTTTGAGTTATCCTTATAGATTTATTATTAATAGTAATTATATAAGTTCACATATAAATCTAAAAATACATTTTTTATTCATCATAAAATTTTCTATTTAATAAAATACAATTTAAACTTGCAAGTCGAACTAAAATCGTGTTTAAAAATTCAACACCTTTAAATTATAAACTTTCATAAAAAAAAACTTTAAAGAAACAAAAAAATAAGTTTAAAATGTCATCTTGAATTGAAACTTTGTATTATTTTTAACATATTAAAAAACAATATTAACTTGATAAAGAAGTTTTTTTAAATTAATTTGTTCAAGAGTTTCTTATTAGTAATAATCTCAAAAAAGAAGTGTTAGAAAAAATCTAATGTCAGACATGAAATTAGCGTAAAATGTTGGTTAAGTAAATTATATATTGGTCTATAATAAAAAAAGAAATATATCAAATGATAGATACTTAATGTATCTACAAGAAAAAAAAATTTTTTTTGATCCATTAATTTTAGAAAAAATTATGGCGGTTTTAAGTAAAAAAAGTTGAAAAAATATCGATAATTACCAATTTTTTAATTTTTGGGGGATTTTCCCCATTTACGGAGAATGAGAGAAATTTTTTCAATTTTTAAGGGTAATGTCTTCGAATAGATACGATTTGTGATCTATTGATATATTGTTCATCGGTCCAGTGAGAGCTGATAATAAGTGGTATAAAATAAATTAATATAAAAAAAAACGGTAGCACAGTGGGGTCGAGGCACAGTGTAGACAAGGCATAGATGAGACAAGTCTAGATGATATTTGACAGTGATTAAAATCACTATCATAAGAAACGCTTCGATGCAAATCTGTAGATAGTGTTTCATTTAGAGAAAGTGGTGGATTATTCCAAAAGCAACATCAACTCTTATTTCACAGCACAGGGGGGTCGCGGTACAGTAGTGACGTAGCATAGTTGAATCAAGTATAATGATATCTGACAGTGATTAAAATCACTATCAAAAAAAAAACGCTAGTTAGTTAAAAACGATAGTGTTTAATTTAAAAAAAATGGTGGATTATTCCAAAAGCTACATGATCTGCTAGTTCCTTATTAATATCCTGATTAAGATAAAGTATGTCGAATGAAAGAGAGATTATTAAAAAATATTATTTCTCATAAAAAAATTGTGTTAATCCATACACTTATCAATAAGTTATAGCATTATAAAGTTAAAAATGTAAAAAATAAAATCGAGAATTTTCAAACGAAAATAGCATTCGGTAGCCATTTTCACCGTGAAGACAAAATAAAGTCCAAATTTTTTTTTTTTAATATTAAAGTATATTACATAAGCTTTAATTTAAGATATATATATAAAAGTATCAGTATTTCCGTAACACTTTAAAAAATTAAGTTGAAAAGTTCTACTTTCTCTATGCATTTTTCAGATTTGAACCCCTCCGTATATAGGGAAATAGTCTGATTTAAAAAAAAAATATGTCGAATGAAATATGTGTATAAATAATACTTATCATGAAAAAATTGTATTCATCCATACATTTTTTAAAAAAGTTATAGCATTTTAAAGTAAAAAACGGTAGCACAGTGGGGTCGAGGCACAGTGTAGACAAGGCTTAGATGATATTTGACAGTGATTAAAATCACTATCATAAGAAACACTTTGATACAAATCTGTAGATAGTGTTTCATTTAGAGAAATTGGTGGTTTATTCCAAAAGCAACATCAACTCTTATTTCTTTGATTATATCCTAATTAGTAGTTCTTTGATTTTAAAATATAATATATGAATAAATACTAAATTATAATTATTAAATTTAGTATGAAATTGATATTCAATAATTTAATTTTGTAATTTAAACGGAGAAATTATAAAAATAATAAAGAAGTTGTATTTTGCTTTATTTTTACGTGTATAAAAATTTAAAGGGCTTGATACAATAAATTTCAATAAAAACTGTTTGTTACTATAAATAAATGCACTGAACTACAAGGAACTTTCATCAGTAACAAAAATATACCATTCTAAATCAACTTTTCGCGATGTTTTCAAATCTGCAATTAGACTTTTTCTATCAGTTCTAAGTTTTAATATTATTAAAAATTAGTATTTACATATAAAAAATTCGCATCGAAGCTAAAAAATTGGCTATTTAAGCTAACTCAAATTTAAAAATTACTTTTTCGACTTTAAAAAAGTAAAAAAAATTTAATAAGTTTAATTTCTTATGTCTTATGAACTTTATTCTATGTCAATTAAATTATATAATATTCATGAAAGTCAATATATTCTCCTAATAAGATATTTTAAAATAAAATAAAATACAAAACCTAGAATTTTAATAGAAAAATAGCATATTTTTGAATACGGTAGCCATTTGCGCATAGAAGATAGGTCGTCGGGACAAATTTTTTTTTTNGATATTTTAAAATAAATAAAATACATAACCTAAAATTTTAATAGAAAAATACCATATTTTCGAATACGGTAGTCATTTGCACATAGAAGATAGGTCGTCAGGACAAATTTTTTTTTTCATTTTATTGTACATAAAATAAGCTTTAATTTGATATATGTTTGAAAGACGCAGTATTTCCGGAACATTTTCAAAAATTAAGTTGAAAAAGATAGTTTTTGTAAAAAAGTTGATATTTTAAATCCTCCCCAATGAGCAGGTTAAGTGTTAGATTTTCAAAAAAATGATATCAAACGAAAGGGAAATATCTAAGGTTTTAGTAGAAAAAAAAATTATGTTGATTTGTTTATTTTTCAAAAAGTTATGGAAGTTTTAAGAAAAAAAAGTGAAAAAAATGACAAAATTTACCGATTTTTAAATTTATAATTTTTTTGAATATTTCTCCCATTTGCGGAGAATGAGGGAATTTTTTTCAATTTTTAAGGGTAATGTCTTCAACTAGATACGATTTTTGATTTTTTGACGTATTGTTAAAAGAAATCGGTCCAGTGAGAGCTGAGAAAAAGTGGCAACAGACATAAAAAAAAAAAAACACATCATAGTAAAACCAATACCTTCTCAGCTTCGCATCGAAGCTAAAAAATAAATAAAAACACATGGTATTAAAATTAATACCATCTCAGCTTCGCATCGAAGATAAAAAAATGGTTTGTTTTAATTTGCTAATAAAATAATTAACTATTGATTTCTGAATTTGATAATGAAAAATATATAAATATTTTTATAAAAACTAAAATATATTATTATTGAGTGTCGTGTAGCACGCGATTATGTATGAGTATTAGAAATAATCATTTCATTTATCACTTTGATTTCAATATAATTCCATTTTATCGGTGATGTTATTTTCATTTTGGGTTGTTCGTGAATGTGTGAGACGTATGTGCATATATGTTCATAGTTTTCTAACGTGGTTCATTAATATGACCATTGATACTTCATAAAATTAATATAAATTCGATAATTAATGTTGATGATGGGTTGTTCATTCAGCCATAACCTATCACGATTTGTTTATCATTTATGTTCCGTGATAATATCTAATCAGTGCCGACATCATAGAAGAACTGTGTTTCAGCCGATATTGTGAACATGATGTGGATGCAAATCGTATGTTTACGATAAGGTTGCTTACATTATACAAGTGTATCATTATAAACTTTTTTAATCTATTTTTATAATTTATTATTATTCATTTTTAATAGAAAAAATTGAACTTTTATCACAACTCTTTGCTGACAACACTTAAAAGAATAAAATTAACACTATCAAGTAGAAACATTTAACAAAAATTAAAAAAAAATATTTTTTGTTTGGTTTTTGGTCAGGAATTAGTATAATCACTATTAAAGGTAAAAAGCTAACTAAAAATAACTTTCACATTACGTATATAATAAAAATTAATTTTTTTGTAGAGATAAGTTTTTATTTTAATGTACTTTTTGGTATTCAGGATGATGTTGTATTTAAAATTTCAATATTTCAATGAAAAAAAAATTAGTTATTTAAATAAAATAATAAATACAAATTCTTAACAAAGCCTGTTATATAATTAAAATAAGTATGTAACTACAGTTTCGACTTAAAAGTCTTCATCAGACTGCAGAATTAATATTAAAGAGTATGAAATTTTATTATATGTTTTAATCAAGTTTTTAATTACTCAAAATATAATCCGAAAAACATAGGTTAAAACTTAATCCAACATGACATTTGAGAACAAAATTCTATCTTCGTTCGCTTACAATTTAAGTAAAGTTTAACTTCATCATTTAAAAAATTTGATGACAATATGTCAGGGTTGTTAGGTCTTAAACACTGTTTGTTTAAAACACCAAAAATGTCAAAATTTACATTGGTCTTATGGGACGTTTTAAACTGTTTATTCGTGTTTTAAACAGACTTTTTTTTAAATATGTATTTAACTACCCTAAGCATGTATTTTTGTAGAAATCTTGATAAAATACAATAATTTTTGAAGACAAAAATTCTTTAAAATTACCGAGGTGGTACCTAATTTTCGTAGACTAATAAAAAGTCAGGGCGTTTTGTTGCCAGCACTGCCACTAAACAAATAACGGATGTAGTGATGTTTGAACATTATATGTAAGTACTTGATGTGGAATTATTTTTAATTAAAACTATTGTGTTTCAACTAAAACGCATTAAGATACCGAAGTTTAAAAGTACCTAACCATTATTCATATAAATATCTGTAGGTTTATGTTGAGCAATAGTACTATAGATTATAAAGTTAAACGATCAGTTCAGTGATGTGTCGTTGTAGTAGAAATGTCGCAAAGCGAGAAATAACTATTGTATTCGATTCAGAAAACATCTGATTCATTGCACTTGTCAAGCATGCAGTTTTGAAATCTGAGTTGCTTTGTCTCTATAAATTAGTTGATGTCGAATCCAAAAATTCGTAACAGGGGATTACTCTATCTTACGCGTGCAATAGTATATATTGTAATAAATAATGAATTAATAAACGGTATACAAATATACATATAATATATATAAATCATGAAAAAAAAGTTTGGTCCAATATTCTACTTAATATAAGATTTCTTTGTTAATTGATTTTTCTATCTAATATTTAATTGCTAGGTTCTTTTTCAAGAAGACAAAATATCAAAGATTATTGAGATGAACGGACTATTATCGTAGTTCAACTTACGTTTTGCATGGCTATCTAACTATTTTTATGTTTTTTTTTTTTTAATAATTTTTCTTGTAAGTATATAATAGAATAAGTATTAATAGCTTATAATAACAATTCACGTACGTAATAAAATATTTAATAAATTAAAATACACAAATCATAAGATTACTTATAGATATGATATTTACCGTTTTGTCATTTAATTGTTTAACTTTACAGTGTAAATCTATATTGGCACCGATTTGTACAGTTATGTTGAGATGAGTAGATGGCTCTTCGAAAAAAGGTAATACTCTATCTTCTTCCCTTTTCGGCGAGCTACTAGAAGATGGTTCCCATAAAACTTGATTAAGTAGTGTTTCTATGTTTGCATCGTTATCGTAGGTTGATTCTGAAACAAAATAAAATACAAAGTAAATTACAATTTACCAAACTTCTACGTATTATTAAATTAAAAGAACAAAACTATTGTCATTGGTTACTTTTAAAACCTAAAAATAATTGAGTAAGAATTACTTTTTTCAAATAACATTTTCAAATAAACATCACATACTTTTAACAGATATTATTTCAATGCATTTTTAGTTTTATCTGCGATGTAATTAAATATCAAATATATATTACTATAGATACTATACTATTTATATAACTAAAAAAAAAGTTGTTAATTCATAAAACTGGGTTTCTCGAATTGTTGTTGATAAAGATGAAGGTATTTTCAATCAGCTATGACTATAATTTTATAGTTAAAGTTTGTTTTTTCCTTAAATAATATTGAGTAGAAATTATCTATATTCAATTTTTAAATAAGATTTAGCTCTTTTAAAATGACATATCAGCTTTTGTGAAATAGCCTTATAAATTCACTTTTGATAAGTTTAGGTAATGGTTTAGAGACTTAGTCCAAAAGGAGGATTTATCCCTCAAATAATTTATAAAATTATATGTGCAGAGTATCCCATCATGATATTCTAATAAATCCTATACTTTTTATTAATTGAATATTTTTTTCTATTTTCAAAACTTATTAGAGCTTTGTAGTGTAATAATATAAAAATATTTTTCATATTATTATCATATATAATTTTATATTATTAAAAACATTTTTTTTAACTATCGGAAATGTTTAAAAGGAAATTTATAATAGCTATTTTTAGAGTAAGTTATAAGAAATAATTTGATAGTAAAATCTATTCCTAATGTTTAGTGGTTAAATTTCTAGGGTATTTTAAAATTAGTAAAAACATATCCTCATATCCAACCCAACCTTTGATTTATAAGTAAATAAATTTTTATCAATAGGACCGAAACTTAAATTTAAAGTATCAAAGAACCCAAACTGATCTGATAACTTAAAATATTATTGATAAAACCTGAATCCAAGCTCTAACCTGTAAAAAAAACTATGGTTTGTCCCTGTTTTAGACAAATCAAATATTATATAACTGTAATAAAATTATTGGATTTTTAAAAAGAGAATTATTTAACGTATGCACTTTGTTAGCAGCAAAATATTCACTTAATAATGATGCTTAAAGACTAATTGAGAACTTTTTTTATATTATTGTAATATTATTTAGATACATAAAATTATGAAGACAAAAGCTATTTAAATATTTTATTTTTAGATAGTATTAGAACCATTTAAAATATATAAATGATGATTAGTATTTTTTTTTAAATGTAAAATTACAAGTTTTTGTAAGTTGTTAACCTAAGTTTTAGCTAGTGGTTTTAATTGTATTATTACCTTTATCTGCATTGCAGTATTTCATTATAAAAGTCCATCAATAAAATTCGTGTTGCTAACAGAAGTTTCGCCAGTTTAAAAACGATACACTTTATTTAACCATACAAATTTAATTACAATTACGTGAAATTTTCTAATGTAAAATAAAATATTGTCTTGAAAAGGTTTAACGGTTATGTGATAATTGCATAGATAAAATTATATTGATAAATTTGAATTAATAAATTTGTTTTACTGGAAAGTAGTTATTGTGAATGAATTATTGAATAGATACACTCATCGTTGCTATTGTTTATAAAACATACACGTTCAAAATAAAATTCAATTAACACGTTAATTAGGTACTTTAATATTTTTAACTTAATCAACTGTAAAAATGTTTTTTTTTTAAGTTTTAAAGTAAAACAATTTTCTAACTAGAGAAATTCTAAGAAAAAGTTTCAAGAAGGCGGTTAAATTTATATTGTCCGTATTTTTTAGGGTACCCAAGAGATTGATAAAACTTGTTGACGTAGAAAGACAGTTTATAAACTTAACAAATTAAAATGTTTTAAGATGAATTCATGAAATTTTAAATAAAGTTACGATCCTTGTGTTTTTATTAAAACAACTCTGTCAATAACAAGTGCGAATTAAAATGTGATTAACGATCTTAAATGGTTCAATATCACTTAAATAAGAAGTGATATTTTTAGATTTATAAAAATAAGATTATATAATTCAGAAGATTAATTATTTCATATGATATTTCAAATCTTAAATGGATTAAAATGCAAAAATAAGTGTTCCATATATAGTTATCCATGTATGTTAACTGTCATTAGAATTAAGAGACTAAGTCCTCTTACGTCCTCCTTTAAATTAAGGCCTATTGGTATAGTAACGCATACAAAAATAGTATATTTAGTTCCAATATTCATCAGATTTTACAATTTATAAAATATGATAATAAAATTATAAAAAAATGAATTAACTAGAATGTATCAATATTATTATTCTTTTAAAAAATCTATTGATTCAGTTATATTAAAGATTTCTAGAATTAATAGAAAGAAAAATATAGCTTATGTAAATACTTAAACACAAGATAATGGTTAAATACTTTTTCAACTTCGCATCGAAGCTAAAACAATGTTGAGACAATAAAATATTCTCTCTACGTTTTCTCCTATAAAATACAAGATATATCAGAGAGAAACTTGATAGGCAGCATACACATGACACAATGAAGAAGCATCACTGTTGAAGGTACAAATAAAATATCTCAAAATAAATATCATTGGAGCGATCAAAGTTTCGATGAAAATTGAGGATAAACCTAGTGTCGAAAAAGTAAAACTAAGAGAGAATTAAAAGAAATTTGGAATTATTGAAAATAGCAAAATGGTAAAACATATGTTAAACTATGTGATCTAATGATCAGACCCACGTTAAAAGAAGAAAATGTTAATATATAAGTTAAGTACAATGATTTAATAAATCAATTTGAAATTATAAAAATACATACGGGACAGGAAAAATAGGTTTGAAAATTATAACCGACGAGATAAAATTTTCAAATACCATGTCCAAAAATAATTGTTTAGCCATATTTCGAGAATTCATTCATAGCTGATGATATTTATTTTTAAATTATTTGCCTTTTCTTTGATCAGAAATGATTTGTGGAAATGACATATGTAAATCACTTAATATAAATATATATTTATAATATAATTATAAGTTCTTCTTCATCCATAAAATCTGGAAACGAAAAACCTTTTAATGTTTTAGCAAAATAGAATAAAAGAGGGCAAACAAATTTCACAGTACCGAAACTAGTAGCTGCGTCAGATTGGTGTAAAATAAGTGCACGAGATGCAGTTTATATTATTCAGGAAATAGTTGAAGCTTTATTTCATGAAATCGATTCTCTTATCATAAATAAGTCTTTAGTACATAGATGCTGTGATTACGTATTTTGACATTTTTCTGTAAAACTAACGGACTTAAGAAAAACTATTAAAACTTAATTTATACAAAATAATTAGGTTTACAATTTAATTTCTATAATTTTTTTTTTCGAGAGCGTCAATTTACGAGTTAACTGCTAAAAACTAAAAAACTACCCTTTTTGTCCAATTTTTAACTCCAAATTGGCACGGGTTAAACTTATCTGATTGGCCTGAAATTGTTTGTAGCCACTTTTTATATATACACACAAATTTGGCGGGTGAGCCCGAACAATTTCCAAAATTTTAAAAATAAGGAACACCCTAATGTAAATAGTATTAAGATCTATTATGCATAAATTTTTAATATAAACATGTTGTTTCAAGATAGCTCTTATTATGAGAGAAATGTTTGCAAAGGTAAATAGTAATATGAACTTCTAAAATGTTGAGTTTTGAAGGATTAGCACAATTTTCTAACTTATTAAAATTTTTTAAATTTTAAAACGTCATAAAGTGTTAAGTTTGGATTGTATTAAAATTAATACCCTCTCAGCTTCACATCGAAGTTAAAAAAATCTCGGAGCAGTATAAATTGAATATTTTGAGTTGATCACAAAATATTCGAATAACAAAATTGATAAAACTGACTTCACATCTGCTAAGGTACTATGACTACAGAACCAAATCAATATGGGATGGTAGTTGTGATTTTATACAACTTACAATTTACGATTTATTGATTTCACTTGAAGGTATATTAACACTATGACAAATAGCTGTACCGTACTGATGTATTTGTTATTGAGAGCTATCAATGCCAACTACAAACTGAAAATAATTGGTAAACGCAGCGATACACTAAATTGCTTTACAATGCAATAAAATTTGATTAAGTACTTCGAATTTTTTTTTTTAATTAAATGGCAAAGAATTAATTTTAACCTTATTGTTGTTACTCGGATACTGATTAAATCGAATTCTCGAGTTTGTGCATAAATAAATCTAATTTCAATGGAACTCGCATAATATCATCTTTTCGAAAGCTTTTTAAACAGTTTTTTTAACTTCGAGATTAAAGTTGTACTTTTATTCTTTGTTTTAAATTTGAAATTTGAAATAGCTTAATTGGGGTTTTTATTTCATTAGATATTGTCAAAGTTATATTGACTTCCATTGCGATAATAAATCAAATTTTCACAATTATTACATTAAACTACCTAAGCATAATTGATTGTACAATACTAACACCAGAAACGTGTTTTCCAACATGTGTCATTTAAATCCTAAGAAAATACGTGCTGTTGTTCTAAAAGTTATAATAATATAAGGATATAATATAAATACTTGGTATTCTACGAAGATTTACTGGTTTAATCAAGTGGCATGTCATACAATTTAGTTTATTAATTAATTCACCAAAATTTATTTTTCATATTTTTGATTAATTTTTTATATAAAACTAGATGTTGGATTTTATAAAATCTATTTATTAAATAAGCGATTAAATATTTTAAATATTTAATATATAATAATTATGTGATATATTTTTATTGGTAATCTATTATTTTTGAGAGAAAAATAAAATGCTGATACTTAAGTCATCTATCCGTCAGTTAATAAATATATTCCGCTGGAAATATTTTAACGGTTGCATCATGTGAACGTTATGGTATAAATCACAATCATTTTTGAATAGACACACAAGCA